GCTCTGTGCCTTGGCAGCTTTCTCCAGTCTGTGGGGATCCCAGGGTGCCCGTACACCAAGACTTCCCGAAGATCTCGCTGACAGGATCCTGTCCTCCTGAAGCCTGACCGCAGGAGTGAAAGCATTTTGATTCGTTCATTCTGACATTTCATTCACGGTTTTGTTTTATTTCGTTCGTTCATTCATTCCTTTTATTCAGATTAGTAAATAGATGCAGCCGGCACGGTCCTGAACGCTTGCTGTTCAGCATGATTTGTGGGTTCTTTCTAAAAAATACCTCACACTCAGTGACCGAATTGTTACCTGCTTCCTGACGATGTTAGATGACAAAGACTTTGGCTTAAAAAAATGTCAAGTAATCCATTTGTGGTAACGTGGGGTGAACAGCGTCAGTTGCAAAAGGTCCGTTCTGATGCACTAAAGACGTTTTCCTGGGGATTAATTCAAGGGGGAAGAATGACTACAGCCGGCAGTCCTTACAATCCACAGAGCACAGTCGACTTGGGCGCCCAGTACATCACCTGCACTTCTCATTATGCCAAAAAACATCAAAGGTGAGTTAGCTGAAAGGGGTGGAATCAGTCATACTAGTTGTATGATGTAAAAAGATGTAAATCATCCATTTTTAACAGTTAAACGTTGCCTCTAGTAATACTGTAATTGAAATGATTATGTTATCATTGTGGATCGTATTAACAGTAAAAGATTAACCTGCATAAAGTGGGAAAACTGTAATATATGCCTCATAACAGTTGTAAAGATCAGATGAGAGATTATAATGGACACGGTAATGGCCCAATAAAAGGAATTACTGGGGAGGGTATAGCCCAGTGGTATAGCATGCACGAGGTCCTGGGTTCAATCCACAGAACCTCCATTAAAAAAAAAATAAATAAATGAATTTAATTAGGAACCACTATGTTGGTGTTCAGGAAAAGGACACATAAAAGTACTGGAAGTCATTCCTAACCAAATTTAAAATTGGTATACTGATACCTCCATTAAAAAAGATAATAAAAAAAACCTAATTACTGCTCCCCACCAAAAATACAAAATAAAAAATAGAATTGGTATACTAACTACCTTTCAGTTTATATCCACAGACTTTCATTTTGAAATATATGAAAAAATAGGCCTCTGACTAATGTCAGCAAAAGAACCATGGATTCTCAAAACATTTCTGTTCTTCACCTGACTTATCAGTTTCAACACAAAACATGTTGAGTAGATCATAGGCAGATACCTAGTTATTATTGAGGATTATAATCTCTAAGAATTCTTAGAAGAGAATATAGTATTTTAGAGGTAGTTATAGTATTATAATTATGTTGTACATGTTGATTTATTTCAGCTTTTATGATGAACTGTTAGCTCGGGGCATTTTGAAGCCTCTGATCTCTCGTATTGAAGGAATAGTGATAAAAGACGGAGACTGTAACTTTGTGGCACCTCAAGGAGTTTCTTCAATTGTTAATCATTACTTGAAAGAATCAGGTAGGAATAGGATTTTCTATGTCTTCTTTTAAAGTTAGCATTTTTAAATAAAAGTTGTACACATAATTAAATACTAATACTATAAAGAAAGTTATAAAATAGATGTTCTCCTAGTCACCACTCAATCGCTAGTTTCTCCCTCCTTAAGTAATCACTAAATTTCCAATATGTGCTTCCAGAAAAATGTTTACGCATCTGTTGTTCTACATGACTGTCTCTAGCTTACCCATTCCCATATGTTTATATTCATTCTTTTTTAAAACGTAGATGAGATTATTTTACATAAATCATTGTATACCTTGTTTTGTCTATGTTTATAATCAACCAGTCTCTTTCTCCCCGCCTCTGTTTTTCTCTCTCTCTCTCCGTATATATGTGTGTGTATATTTATATCCTATTAGCTCTATTTCTCTGGAGAATTCTGACTAACTCATCATCATAGACTTAATCATATCTTGGGTCTGTTTTCATATCAGCAAATTCAGCATATTTCACTCTTCAATGCCTGTGCAGTATTACATGACATGTAACTATTAACTGTTAACTTTCTGGTAAGTATTTAGGTCGTCTGAGGAGTGAAGGATTGCTTTGGTTTATGTTAATACCAATGTTGCTCCAATGGCTAACCCTGACATACTTTTGAAAACATATCTGTAGGACCAATTCCTAACAGTACAGTAAGTATGTCAAATAGTATGTGCATTTTTAATTTAACTGGGTTGTGCCATCTATTCCTCTTAAAGAATATCTCATCAATAGGAAATAAGAACATCTCTTTCCACACATCTCTATGTTATGGAAATTAATTTTTTTTCCAGTGTGGTAAGTTAAAAATGGTATCTACTTGTTCTTTGATTTACATTTACTTAATTATGAGTGAGTTTATGCATCTTCGTTTTGCTAATCAACTCTGCATTTTTTTGGTAAATGCTTTATTTATAACCTTTGCCCATTTTTAATTAGGATTTTCATTTTTTATTTATATATTTTATTAGTGTTTTAAAATGGACTTTTTAAAAGAGATGACAAATGCTCTTGGATGATAAATGATTTGTTTTTTTCAAATCGAAGTAGGCTTCTTGATAAATCACAATTAAGTGCCCAATTCGGGATCACTGAGGAAAGATCTCAAGCTGAGAATTTGTTTTGTTTTATAAGCTATTTCTAAAATAATTACTATTTTGGTCTCTTTCATCGACTGTTACTTATTGGATTGGGAACCCCAAGAATCCCTGATACTGGGCATGGGAGAGGTCAGTAAGATTGAATATACAACGTGAGAACATAGTAAACACCATTCTGGGTTAGACTGTTTCTCCATGTGGGATTTAGTCTGTGGTGGTGTTCATCAAGATTTTCCAGAGAAACAGAACAGAGGGAGAGAGAAAGAGAAGGAGAGAAAGAGAGAGAGACTTACTGTAAGGAATTAGCTCGTGTGATTTTGGAGGCAGGCAGGTCTCAAGATCTGCAGGGTGAGTTGATAAACTGGAGACCCAGGAGAACTGATGGTTTAGTTCCAGTCCAAAAGTCTTAGATCCAGGAGAGCTGAAGATATAGTTCCGGTCCAGAGCCTGGCAGGCTTGAGACCCAGGAAGAGCTGATGTTTCAGTTCAACTAGATGTGCATGCTGACTAAAATCTCCGAGTATTTATTAACTGTATTATACATCTATCCATCCATTCATACATACATCCATTCATTCAGTAAACATTTACTGAGTGCTTACTATACACTGCTTTAGGCGCTAATGATACAAGAGCCAAGGTTCCTGCTTTCATATAGCTGATGTTCTGGCAGAGGGACAGTCCTTCAATACATTGCACCTACATCCTCTTTGTGTTAGGTGTTCGGGGAAATATATGCTTTATTTTCCAAATTTGCTTTGGAAACTCTTGGGAGAAGAGGTCATACTTAATTATTTGTAGTTCACACAAAATCTAATAGTACCTTATATAAAGTAACTAGGTATAGTGATATAGATACAGATTTCTAATATATGTAAATATACATGTATTTATCAGTTCTAATTTAACCAATTCTTAGAAAAAACCTATTTATATTTTCAATTTGTACAGTCTCTTGAGAGGGTAAGTTCTGTAGATCTTCCTATCAGTATATAAAATGGTTACTTTAAAATTAACTTTTAAAAAAGAATTATACACTATTGGTAGAAAATTTAGAAAATAAAGAAAAATAGCAGGGAAAATGTCGTAATATATAAATCAACATAAGCTCATTTTATGGCATACTTTCTGTTTTTTTAAATGGATTTTATATAATTATATGATTTTTAAAAATGTTTTTATGTAATTAAGTTTAAGGTCCACATAATTTGAGTGTATATAAACTATTTCTTAGTTTATTATAATATAATCTTTGTAATGTTTCAAGAATCCTTTTCTCCCTATACCCGGATCTATTATTAAAGGATTTCTAGACCGTATCTATACCATTTTGAATTTTATGTTTATATCCCTTTAGACATTCTTTAAGCTTCTTTAAAGCTTTCTATCCCATAAATTGTTTCTATCCTATTTTAGTGTTTCCACAATATAAGTCTAGAGCGTCTCAGGAATCAGAATGACCTGGATTCAAATTCACATTCTACCACTCTTTCTAGCTATGTAATATTAGGAAGGTTTTAAAATCTATGCCTTGATTCTCAGCAGTTCTGAGCTAAAACCTATTTGTAGGAAATTTTTTCTTTAAAATGGAGGAAGACAGGGAATACAAATTGAAAAAAATATGTAACAAAACATACTTGCCTTTGTAAAATGTTTAAACCTTTTCGTGTTCTGATATCTTTATACTATCTGTAGATTTTTTTTATTCCTCTAAAATATGTGCTGGGGAACCAGTAGTAAATAAAACACATGGTCCTTGCCTTTGTTAATGTAGAGTATAGTGGGGAGGAAAAGACAAACTAATTACACACACAAAAAGGGGTACGTAATGAACGCTAAGAAGTAAGAGTGAGGGCATCATGAGAGAGCTGTAATAATAGGACCTAACTTTTTTTTTTGAGATTACATTTATTTTATTTTATTTTATTTCTATTTTTTAAACTTTTTTTTTATTGAGTTACAGTCATTTTACAATATTGCGTCAAATTCCAGTGTAGAACACAATTTTTCAGTTATACATGAACATACGTACATTCATTGTCACATTCTCTTTTGCTGTGAGCCACCGCAAGATCCTGTATATATTTCCCTGTGCTACAGAGTACTATCTTGTTTATCTATTCTACATTTTGAAATCCCAGTCTGCCCCTTCCCACCCCCTGTCCCCCTGGCAACCACAAGTTTGTATTCTATGTGTGTGAGTCTGTTTCTGTTTTGTATTTATGTTTTGGTTTTTTTAGATTCCACATATAAGCAATCTCATATGGTATTTTTCTTTCTCTTTCTGGCTTACTTCACTTAGAATGACATTCTCCAGGAACATCCATGTTGCTGCAAATGGCGTTATGTTGTTGGTTTTTATGGCTGAATAGTATTCCATTGTATAAATATACCACATCTTCTTTATCCAGTCATCTGTCGATGGACATTTAGGCTGTTTCCATGTCTTGGCTGTTGTAAATAGTGCTGCTATGAACATTGGGGTGCAGGTGTCATTTTGAAGTAGGGTTCCTTCTGGATATATGCCCAGGAGTGGGATTCCTGGGTCATATGGTAAGTCTATTCCTAGTCTTTTGAGGAATCTCCATACTGTTTTCCACAGTGGCTGCACCAAAATGTAGGAGGGTTATAATAGGACCTAACTTAGTGTGAGTTTCAGAGGAGTGAGGGAGGGGAGATGTGTCAGGGAAAGCATCGCTGAGGAACTGATGTTTTCATGGGTACCTGAAAGATGAGCAAGAGTGAACTAGGCCAAGAGCTGAGTGGTGAGAATTGCATGCAATGGTCATATTAAATTGGGACTGTTCTAAGGTAGGAGGAAGATGGTGCATTTATGGAATTAAAAGGTCATCGTGACTGGAGGGTAGTGAATGAGGGAGAGAGTGGTGAAGAGGTGAATTTCAGGAGTAAGGCAGGGGTCAGATCATAACGGGCTTGGTAAGCAACGTTAAAGATTTTATACTTTATTCTAAATGCGGTGGGAAGCCATTGAAGGATTTTATGCAGGAGAGGCACATCAAATTTACTAAGCTCAGAAGTAACTCTAGAGAGATTTTATGTAGTTCTCTGACTGTTCTAAAATGAGTTCCAGAGCCTATAGATTTTGTCATTTTGAAAGTTATTAGTTACTTTCACAAGGAAATGCCACTTTCCCAGAAACTTTACTCCTAGCAATTAGATAGGAAAACCTCCTTGTTGGTAAGAGCAGCTATACCATTGCCCCTAACTCTTGGAAAATGCTATTTTTGGGGTTGCTTTGTCAGTTTCAGTGTTAGATTTGGGTCTATTTATCTACCCCAGTAGTTCTCACTCTTTCATGTGCATTGTAACAAGCCTGGGGAGCTTGTTAAGTGCCAACTACTGGGTCGATTCCCAGATTCTGATTTAGTTTGTCTGGGTTGGGACCTGAGAATTTGCATTTCTAACAAGTTCCAAGGTGCTGCTGGTGCTTCTGGTCAAAGTTCCATACTTAGAGAACCACTGATATACACCTTCCAAACACTTTGGGGCCTTTGGGAAATGTGTCCAAGACATCTGACTAGATACAGAAAATTTATAGTTAGTGGACTTCAATCTCCTTAAACACACACATACATGCTCACCACCAACAATAACTATGTAATGCTGTTTTCAAATGGAATATTATGTGAAACACAACTGAATAAAACATAAAATCAGTTAACTTAGTTGAGGTCCCGGTCAGGGCCAGAACTAGAGTGAGGCAAGAGAGGTGGCTAAGTCAGGGGTGAGACTGCCTAAATAAATAAAACAGAGGGAGATGGAGCTGCTCTGCTTGGAATAAAAGGGATAGTGGGTGTGAGCTGAAAGCGCCAATTATTTGCACTTTCCCCTTTCTCTTAATTCTCAGTCTTCTTAATAAAGGTAATTGATCCATTGATGAGGATTTGACTTTGTCTTACAGAGATTTTTTTTCAGATTTAACAGAGAATATTAATTCCTTTAATAGGGAATATTGTTTTTTCTTGCTATTACTAGAGAGACAAATTGTTAACTCCTTTACTAAGGTGTATCTTTGCTTCACGAAGATAGTGAACTTTAGTGTCAGATGGATGTGGTTTTAAATCATGGCATGACATTTCTTAATCTATTTCCTGATCTGCAAAATGAATTGGTATAATATATATCAAGTATTGGCATAGTCTTGGCATACAGTGGATGATTAATGAAGTAGCTATGGCTACTACTATTATTAATTATAGTGGGTTTTTTTTAAAGAGCAGGCATTGATAGAGAGGTCAAAGGGTGCGAGAAGGGAGAGATGCCCAGTAAATGAGAAAGAGAGTAAATCAAGTGAAGCCCAGAGGCTGTAGAAGACAGATTTCACCATTTCATTCATCTGAATGGATCCAGTTTGGGTCTCTTCTCTCCCCTTCATTCATATGAAAAATCCTGATTATGTGAACATGATTTTGCTTTTGGAGCAGGTGCTGAAATCTGCTTCAGACAACATGTGACCCAGATCAACCTGAGAAATGACAAGTGGGAAGTCTCCAAGGAAACAGGCTCCCCTGAGCAGTTTGATATTGTTGTCCTCACGATACCAGTTCCTCAGATCCTGCAACTTCAAGGTGACATCGCAAACTGTGAGTCTCTGCCGTGTACCACAGAGAATGGGAATTCTTTGATAGAGCATGAATTCAGTTTAACTTTCTTAGCAAAGGGTATGTTACAGATTCTATTGATCTGCATGTTTTAAAAACCGATACTATGGCCTGGTTTATGATACTAGACTAGGTCAAATCAAAACCCAGGTTTTTTTTAAAGCTAGTCAAAAATTGAATATTTCTCTTTTTGTCCTTGCCTTTCAGAAATAAGTATTTTTGATGAAAAGGTAGTTATTTGGCCTAAAAGAACAGTCTCTTTGTGGCTGTTCTGGAGAAAAGAAGGATTTTATGATACAAGCACTGATTATATGACAAACCTGGTAAACTTCATCTTGCCTTGTTCTTGAGTATGTGTCATGTTCTTCCCTGCTTAGGACTTGATGGCTCACCTCTCACTTAGCTTCTCCCCTCTCCTTTTTTTTTTTGAACAGCTTTGAGAGATAATTCACATACCATCCAAGTCATCCATATAAAGTGTATATTTCGATCATGTTTAGTATATCCACCAACATATGCAGCCTTTACCACAGTCAATTTTAGGATGTTTTCATCACCTCGGAAAGAAACCCCATATCCTAAAGCTTTCACCTCCATCCTTCCACTTCCATCCCTGCCTCTAATAATAATCTAGTTTCTGTCTCTATCATTTCCCTGTTACCTGGATTCTTAAGAAAAGCTTTTCTATGGTGCTGCTTTTTGTCTACCTATGCCAGGTTTAACTGATTATTCTCCTGTCTTTCATCGTGTGTGACTGAGTTCAGCACATTAGAGTCACTGATTTCCAGACTATACCTCTTCTTGCCTTGAAAGCCAGGAGTTATAGCAAAGTAGAGTCTGGTGATGGTGGCAAGGCTTTGGGGATGTGACATGCTTTTGACTTTGCTGCATGACTGAAGGTGACATTGGTTGAGAAATGGCCTTTAATGCCACTATTAGAAAGAAAGCTGATAATAAATATGGCTTGTAGATTTCAGATTTAGAACTGTAATAGATGTTGTTCTCTGAGGTTGAACATAGCTGCTTATTACGTTTTGAAAGCAATATGAGTATCAGTTTCACCATGCAGTAATGATATAGCTTCTTTCCCAGTACAGTGTGAGATAGGAATGTAGACAGGATTGGAATATTTATTAGCTAGCTATAGGCAAAGTAGAAAACGAATTTCAAAGATCTCTTTCATGAGTCTATCTCTAGTGTGTTGCCGAAGTCCCTTTAAAGTAGGATAATTTTTTGCCATGGAGCTTGTAATAATTGGATTGATTTTGAGACTGTGTTAATATTTAACTAAAACATAGCTATGGATCAGTGTATTCAGTCGTACTGTAAATTACATATTCCAATTTTTAAAAGCTGCATAGTTTTTATGAGATAATAGACCCTTCAATGTTGCATTTTGAAGCAATTTTTCAATATTTGTGTTAGTGACATATAAAACATAACACCATGGTATAGACTGATTCCTAAGATGTTTAAGGGCCTGCTAATTAATAATTTTATTTAGATCATCTGTATCCTCATTGTTTTGAGTAGTTGAACTGTGTTAGGCTGAGAGAAATAACTTAATTCTCCTACTATAATTGTATTTTTTCTGTTTTTCCTGGAGTTTTGGGGGTCAAATTTTGCTTTATGATTTTTTTGGTAACGTGTTATTTGACTCATAATATATTTTCATTACAAAGATGCTCATTGTTTTATTTTCGTTTGCCTGGTACATTCTTTCTACTTTTAGCCTTTCAAAGATACCTTATTTTAGAAGTTCCTCTTTTGTATTTGTTTATCTTTGAGTCCAGTAATTTCACAAAGATATATCTTATTGTTAGTAGTTTTGTGTCAGTTTTTCATGCGTCATGTTGTACATCTTGACTTGAAGATTCAGCTTTTCCTTTATTTAAGCTAAGTTTCCCTCTAATGCTTACATGAAGATTTGTATCTGTTCCATTTATTACAATGTCAGAGTATCGTAAAATAAATACAAAATAGATAACCTTTCATATCTGTGATCTTATCTCTACTCACTTTCAACTTTGGTATTTGCATTATTTTTTCTTTCTAGTTGTAGTCTTCTCTTTATGTCACCCATGTAGTTTTCAAATTGTGTTCCTTTTGTTCCATTCCTTGAAATATTTTTTCACAGTGGTCATATATCCCTTCACTGTTTTCAGGTTACTGTCTGAGTGCTTGTTGAACTAATCTATTTCCTCAAAAATTTTTCCTGATGTGTATTTTTCATCAGCTCATTTGTTAGGTTTTGTTTTGTTCTGTTGTCTTCCTCCACTCCTCTGCATCCACCCCTCTCTGATTATTACTCATCTTTAAATGGGGGCATTTCAGTCAATTTGTGAAGGGAAGTGTTACCACAGAAGGCCAGATGATTCAGTTAAAGTATGTTGCCTCAGAACACGTTCTGCGTACACTTTGTAAATATTTAGCTGTGAACTATTAAATGCTAGTGATCCTTGATATATTTACTAACATCGAAAGATTTCAAAATGTTTTTAATTTAAAAAGACGAAAGGATGAATCTCTGTTTATTTTCCATCTACCAAAAATAGTTTGACAGAAACATAAGGACATTGTTTATTGCTCGAAGATGATTTTCATTTTCTTCTTTACAGTTTTCTGAGTTGTCATATCTTTAAAAATAAGGAAAGTTTACTCTTACTATAAAAAAATGTTGACAGCATTTAAAAAAGTGTATCATACTGAAAAGGAAATAGATCTTTTTTTTTCTTTTCTTTTTTAATGGTGGGATATGTCAACTCTTTATGATGAAAAAGTTTAAGAATGATTGACTTGGTACATTTGGCTGAGGGCAAGGATCTTTGGGGTGTTGTACTGGTTTAATTCAGAATTGGACCTCATGCAAGTAATTTTGTGTTCGTTGTTACGTAATAACCCACTGTAGCAGTAAAGGTTTAAAACAGAAGGTCCTATCATGACCCTTGAATACCTGTGTGTCTAAAACAAAGGGACTGAAAACATCTGCTTTCTCTTTATGTTGTAAATCTCAACAGTGACCTCAGTATGAGGAATTAGTGTCTTTGTGGTTTCTCGACAACCTTGCCTACTCTTGCTTGCTTGTTAGACATCCTCAGTTTATATGAAAAACCATTTACAAAGCTATATGTTGCCATCTAGTGGGCCTGGTACAGATTGCAGTTCCCCTCAGAATTTTTAAACTAAGAACTATGAAGACAATCGAAGTACAAAGTATACATAAAACAATATCTGTAATATAATTCACAAAACCCCGTAATATCACAGGGAAATGACTTCAGGCCCATTATAATTAACTAACTTACCCCAAAGTACATGGCTAATTAGTGACAAAACTCGGGCTGTGCTACAGGTCTCACATTCATAAAAACTATAAGCAGCCCCATGCCTTTGGCTTCCTTTGTGCTTGTCTCCTCATTCTCCCCCCACCTCTCTCTCTAAATCATGTCTACCCCACTAGGGTCAATAAAGTATCATCTCTTACATGAACGATTTCCCTTTTGATTACAGCGTGGTTGAATTTCCCCCCACCTGGCCTCCTTTTCCCTATTTTGCTTTTTTACTGAAGAAGCAGAACTAATTTCTCAGGGCCGGCGGTTACTTATTACATTTATGACCTTCTCCCAGTTGGGAGAACAGGGAAGCTTTATGAACCACATAGTGAAACTTTTATGATTCATGATTTGCCCTCTGGTTTTGTAACTGTGCTACCCTCTCTCTATTAGTGTTGCAAAGACTTTCTCACTTAATCCTTACAACAATCCTAGTTGTTATGATTACTTCCCTTCGTGGTGGTGATCCTGAGATGTGAACCTCAGCAGTGTGAGTCCAGAGCCCATGTGCACTTAACTGCTGTTATACCCGGCTCTCCAGCATGCACTGCATCTTAGGCTATCCCTTTACTTATTGTTTTGTGTAGGTGTGAGTTCCCGCAGCATCTTGCTCATTCTTGATCACTATGTTTTCCAGACTTGCCTAGTGAAGATTGCTAGTTAAAGAAAACCTAAGGGTCACCTTTGAGAAGATTCTTAATTCCTAGAGTTTGGGCAGGGCCCAGGAATCTGTGTCTTTAACAAGTACCTTATGGGGATTTTTTTTCCTTCCACTTAGGCCTGTTTGGGACATTCTACCCTATCATAATACATTCATCAGATTTTATTGTAATTTTTAGTTTTCAGCAAGTATCTTCCCCACTAAACCATAAAATCCAGGAGGAAAGGGCTCCTATTGGCTACCCTGTTCCCACCCAGCATCAAGCACCACACAGTGCACGCAGACCCACATGGCACTATTATTGTTAATCAATATCTGCCAAATGAGTGAGCATCTGTTTCATTTCCCAACTTGATTATAAGCTCCTAGAGGTCCGCTAAACTTAGACTCTACTGATCCTGCCTTGGTACTGGTTCACAGCACTAAGATAAAAGCGTGAACCTTGGGTGGGTCATAGAATTTTAGGACTAAGAGGAACTTTGAGGCTCATTGCATCTTTCACCCTGATGAGAAATTTAAGACATGATCTGTCCCATACAAGATCGCACAATTTATTAGGGGCTGGACAGGAGGAAGTATCAAGAAAAAAGAAGGCACCTTTCAAATATCATTATTGTCTTTTTTCAAACTTCTGGTAGGAACATCAGTCTCCAGAGTGGCTACAATATATTATGTTTTTTAATGTATGTATTTATTTTATTTTTTAATTGAAGTATAGTTGATTTACAACGTTGTGTTAGTTTCATGTGTACAGCAAAGTGATTCAGTTAAACATATACATACATATTCTTTTTTATTTTACATATATCAGTTTTTTTCCATTATAGGTTATTACAAGATATTGCATATAGTTCCTTGTGCTACACAGTAGGTCCTTGTTATTTATGTATTTTATTTATTTATTTATCTATTTTATCCATCTATTTTAGCAGTATGTATATGTTAACCCCAGACTCCTAATTTATCCCTCTCTCCCATCCCTTTCCACT